CCGTCCGCTGCGCGCTGCTGGCCGCCCTGCTGGCCGCGCCGGGGGCGGCGCTGGTCCCGGGGCGCTGCCCGGCGCTGGGTAAGCTCGGAGCGCACCTGGACGACTGGGGCGGCCGGCGGGTGGGGGCGCCGCCGTGGCCGCCGCAGACTGGGGGAGGCCGGAGGGAGGAGAGCTCCGCCTTTCCTGGGCTGGCTTGGGTCCCCGCGGGCACAAGGCGCCAGCCCGGGGCTGACCTGGCCGTGTGGACGCGGGTCGTCTTGCGCGCCCTACGCCCGCGCCCTCCCTGGGCTGCCCTGTGGCTGGGAGGCTCCCTGGCGACTGTGTGCAGGACTTGGGGTGTTCTCGGAAGCCCGAGAACTGCCCAGTGCTCCCAGGAGTCTACACAACTGTGTTCCTGGTTACTCTCAAGGAGATGCCAGAGAGGGTGCGCCCCAGCCGGGTGGTGTCCCCGTCCGGGCGTCCTTTGCACCAGCGCCTCTCTTCCTCCCTCCGCTTTAGGGGGCCACCTCGCCTTGCTCTGCCCCCACCCCCGCGGGTGTATGTGTGGGTGACAGTGCCCTGACTGTGAAGGGACTGACATCATGGGCGCTGAGTCACGGATCCTCCCGTTGCACGGGCTCACTTGAGCGGGTACCAGCTCTGGCAAGCCCAGTGCCCCAGTCCTGGGAGTTGAGTGGGGAGGCTGGAGAGGAATTGCGTGCTGGACTCCCCTGCCAGACTGAGAAGGAGGGGTGAGGGAGAGGACAGGGCACTTGTTGCTCCTGTAGACTGTAATCTGTGTCTGGCAGCCTGGCCCTGGCTGCGAGCCCAGCTGCGAGCCCAGCTGCGTGTCTAGCCTCTCCTCTGGAGGAGCTGGGCAACTGCTTCTCTAGAGGTTTATTTTAGGGTTTGAGTGCTTCTTTGAGGACACAGTAGGAAATCAAGGGCCAGCCGGCAGGCTTCTGGAACAGATGGCTGGGGAGGCCAGAGGCTCTGGCTTTCACTTTGAGACCCAGCTGCCTCTTGCCCTGGGTGAACACCCTGTTTGCTGTCTCCCTGCCGGGAGATAACTTTCTGCAGCTAGAGGCTGGACCAGTGTGCCTGCAACTCTCTTTGCTTTCTGGATGGTTGTGGTCCCTGGAAGAGAAAAGGAAGGATTCCTTTTTCCATGCATACGCACGACTCCTGCCAGTAACAGCCAGTGTTGGTTGAGGCCTCTTGTGCTTTGATATATTTTCCAATCCTCCACATAAAACTTTGTTTGGAAGAGGAGACTGAGGTTCAGAGAGCTTGGGTTGGGAAGTTAGCAGGCCCAGTTGGTGGAGGCCTGCTCTGTCCCTGGACCTGTGCTCCCATGTGGCAGATCCCTAAGGCTCTCAAATGTAGAACTAGACCAGCAGGCAGAGCTGGGGGTGTTTGGGGTGAGCTGGGAATCACTCTCATCTGGCTGAATGCCGGGGCAGAAGAGGCTGCGGAAGGGGAAGCAGCGGCCCAGGCTTGCCCCGGTGATGTCAGGGGGATACAGGCAGATTTGAGGCCTTGGTTGGCCTCGAGGGAGCAGGGCTCCCTTGCCTGCCTCTGCGGCTGCTCATGCCACACCCCAGGGCTGCTGCTCCAGGGAGGCTCCTGCTGCCTGCTTTCCTCCTGAGAGGTTGCAAGGCACTTTGAGGGCAGCCGGTTGCAGTCAGTTCTCCGTTTCCCAGGTGTTCGGGAAGGATGGGCAAGGAGGTCTCATGGCCTGGACGGCCTATGAAAGACAGAACTGAGAGTCTGGGGAGGAACTGAAAGTCCTTCCAGCACAGAAGGAAAACGCAGAGAAGTAAAAACACCCAGCTCCTCTCCCACACCCACACAGGCTCAGCCCACAAACTGGAGAGTAAAAATAAAGAAATGGTACAGGAAGCATGGAGCAAATGACTGTGAGATGTTTCGCTTTAGAGAAGTGAGGAGCAGGGGGGTGGCAGGGGCTGGAGCTGGCTGTGAGGGGAAGTCCACAGGCCTGGGTGTATGGCTTCTGCAGCCCTGAGGCATGTTCTGCTCAGGATCAGCTGCCGCCCACGCGTCCAGGAGCTGCCGGGTGCCTCAGGTGTCCTCACTGTCGAGGGACCTGAACTAGCTGGGTCCTAGGCTTCTTCCGGCTCCACGCTCTGGGTGCTGGTTGTGGAAAGCCTGGACTCAGGCGACACAGATTCCTCTTTCTACTGCAATGAAAAAACACACAGAACAAGCACGTACACCTTTGAGTGTCTCAAAGTCTTGTCCCAACTTCTGAGCTTCCCTGTAGGGCAACCTTTTTCCTGCCCCCACACCTGCTTGCATTCCTAGCCTCACCTTAAATCAGTATTTATTTCTTTTTCTTTTTTTTTTTTTTTTGAGATAGGGTCTTACTCTATTCAGGCTGGAGGGAGTGCAGTGGCACGATTATAGCTCACTGCAGCCTCGAACTCCTGGGCTCAAGCGATCCTCCTATCTCAGCCTCCTGAGTAGCCGGGATTACAGGCCCACGCTACTACACTGAGGTAGTTTTTTATTTTCCTTTTTGTAGTGACGCAGTCTATGTTGTCTAGGCTGGTCTCAAACTTCCTGGTCTCAAGCAAGCCTCTCGCCTCGGCCTCCCGAAGTGCTGGGATTACAGGCCTGAGTCCTTCCATCCAGCCCTAAATCAGTATTTCTCTAAAGGATAGTTCTGAGCCTAGCATCAGATTTGGTGTGTATTGCAGGTGAGAGGGCTTGGTGAAAATGCTGATTCTTGGCTTCCTCTCATCTGCCTAGATGGTGTGGTTGAGAAACTGATTGAAGCCCCTCCCCCTTCAACTTTCCATGCCAGAAGCCTCTCCCTTTGGCTCTGCCGCTTGTTTATTAATTGCAGCAAATGTTTACTGAGTCCATGTAATGCCTGTGGGGCCTGTGTGGGGTCAACCATGCAGACTCTACCCTACAAGGAACCTGAAAATGGTCAAGTGTGGATCCTGAGAAAGATCGAGAAAACCCAGACTCTCTGACTTGGCCCGCCTGGTACCTGCTAACTGCAGACAAATTGTCTTGGGGTGTGAGGGGCTTAGAGAGAGAGGAAGCGCCTCCGAGGACCAAGATCCCGAGGCGACAGGTGCACTGACCCCAACGATGACTACGTCACCTCCTCTAGGACCCTCAGCAAACTGGGTCATCAGCCACTTCCCTTGCTGGTGCTCACAGCTGTCACTATGCACCCTCTCCCCTTCTCTCCCTCTTTCCCTGTCCCACCAGGCCTAGAGGCCACAGACCCAGCAAGTGAGAACATTCCCAGCCACCGAGTCTAATCTTGGTCTAAAGCTTGCTCTAATGCTGTAACCACTAGCCTTGTATGGCTATTTCAGTTTAAATTAATTAAAATTAAATCAGGCCTGTAATTCCAGTACTTAGGGAGGGCTAGGTGAGAGGATTGCTTGAATCTAGGAGTTCGAGACCAGCCTGGGCAACATAGTGAGCTCTCATCTATATTTAAAAAAAAAGAATTAAATGAAATTAAAAATTTAGTTCTTGGCCAGCCTCGTTGGCTCACGTTTATAATCCCAGCACTTTGGGCCGCTGAGGTGAGAGGATTGCTTGATCCCAGGAGTTTGAGGCCAGCCTAGGCCACATAGCGAGACCTCATCTCTATTTTTATTTTTTGAGTTGCAGTCTCACTCTGTCGCCTAGACTGGAGTGCAGTGGCATGCTCAGGGCCACCATAGCCTCGACCTGCTGAGCTCAGGCGATCCTTCTGCCTCAGCCTTTCAAGTAGCTGGAACTACAGGCACGCGCTAACATGCCCAGCTTATTTTTTAATTTATTGTAGAGACGAGGTCTCACCAAGTTGCCCAGGCCAATCTTGAACCCCTGAGCATAGATAATCCTCTCACCTCTTCCTCCGAAAGTGCTGGGATTACAGGCTTAAGTCACCGTGCCCGGCCATCTCTGTTAAAAAAAAAAATTAGTTCCTTGGTTGCACTAGTCACATTTCAGGTGCTCAGCAGCCAGTGTGGCTTGCAGCTACTGGATGGGACAGCACAGACACAGAGCATTTAATCACTGCAGAAAGTCCTGCTGGACAGTGCTGGGCTGGAGTGCTCATCTGCTCCTTCCAGAGGTTTTCTGTTGCCCTTCCTTTATCCCTCTCCGCCTTCTTTCTCCCCCAAACACAGCTCATTTTGTATAAGTAATGGCTGAGGCTTTGAAGCCAGACAGATCCCTGCCTTCCCCCCACTGCCTTGTAAAAATGATACGACCTTGGCCAAGTGATCTAATTTCTCTGAGACTTAGTGTTCTAGCAAATATAAATAATTATACTACCTCTCAGGGTGATTATGAAGATTAAATGAGTTAAGTGAGGTATTAAACAGTGCTTAGGGGGAAAAAAAGTCCCCAGCACGGAACAAGTGTTTAAAGTAGTGCGGCGCTATCATTCATTCCAAAATTGTATTTGAGCTCTTACTCTGGTCCAGGCACTATTCTAAGGGCAGGAGATATCACATTGAAGAAACAAGACACAATCCCTGGCTTTGTGGGGCTTCCTTCTAGTGGGGGAGACAATTAACAGGATGTAATTTAAATACATGGTATGCTAGTGACCAGCATTAAGGACAAACAATAGCAGGGGAGGGAGACAGGCACTGCGTGTGCCTGTTGGGGGATGGGGTGGCATGGCACTTTATTTTTCTGCCCCATGTGATCTGTAGGAATTTTAAAATTTAATTTTTTTTTTTGAGTTGAAGTCTTGCCCAGGCTGGAGTGCAGTGGCATGCTCACAGCCACCGTAGACTCAACCTGCTGGGCTGAGACAATTCTTCCACCTCAGCCTTCCAAGTAGCTGGAACTACAGGCGCATGCCACCATGCCCAGCTAATTTTTTGATTTAGTGTTGGGGGGGGTCTCATCGTGTTGCCCAGGCTGTTCTCGAGCCCATGGGCTCTGGCAATCCTCTCACCTCGGCCTTCCAGAGTGCTGGGATTACAGGTGTGAGCCACAGTGCCCAGCCTTATGTTTAATTTTTAAAAATAAAGACTATATTGCTTAACTATGTTGCAAGACTAACCAAATAAAGTCTCTGTTGCATAACTATGCTGGGTTGCCCAGGCTAG